GGCAGCATCTCTGCAATTTTGGCTTTAGAATTCTGTAATTAAGGAAACAGGAGAGAAGGAAATATATTTGTAAGCAGTTACTGCCCAAGAGATTTTTTTTTGATAGGTGTTAGAGATGCCCAATGAAGATCCAATAGAATGACAATGGTTATCAAATATGAGCCAAAAGAAACTAAAAAATGAAGTCGAGATTCCCGCCAGTCTTTTTTTTTTTGCCGTTAAACAAAAGTCTATTTGACAGTTGACCCTTAATTAAAATGGATATATGAGCAACTCTCTAGAAATTGGTAGATATGAAATCCTACAATCTTGTCCTGCATGTTTCTTATAGGAGAGGATACTTTATTGTTTTCTCCCTATCCATTTTTCCCTCTTAAAAATAATGTTAAATTTGGTAAATGGAATGAACAATTATGTAGTCAATACATAACCCTTTAGCTTCATAAATGCCAGCGCAATATTAAGATCTGATTCCTTTGCTCTGTGAAACATCAGAAATGTTCACAGGGCAAAACCCTTTTTTTAACATTCAAATCTGCTTTATTCGGCGAATCTGCTGCTTTAAAATTTAGAAATTAGGGATGGAAAGTACCATTTATTTTGAAGTTTGTATCTGTTACAGGGAAAAAATGGTGGCCGCCCTCATAGCATCTGGTGCATTAGCTGGAGCAGTTACGGATCCAAATTCACAGGACCCAACTGGTAGAACCCCTGCATCTGTTGCTGCTACCAATGGACACAGGGGACTCGCAGGTTATCTTTCAGAAATGTCACTAACTGGTCATCTTTTATCCCTCACAATGGAAGAAAGTCAGCTATCTAAAGGTTCTGCTGCTGTGGAAGCAGAAAGAACGGTAAATAGTATATCAAATACAAGTTCCTATACGGATGAGGATCGGGATTCTCTTAAGGATACCTTAGCTGCAGTTCGGAGTGCAGCTCAGGCTGCTGCACGTATACAATCTGCATTTCGGGCACATTCATTCCAGAAGAGGCAACAAAGAGAAGCTACAGTTGCTATTGATGGTGATGAGTACACTATATTGTCGAATGATATTCCGGGGATTTCAGCTGCATCAAAATTGGCATTCCGCAATACACGTGATTACAACTCGGCTGCTTTATCTATTCAGAAAAAATATCGAGGCTGGAAAGGTCGGAAGGACTTCCTTTCTTTCCGCCAGAAAGTAGTAAAAATACAGGTGTGTCACTTCTTCCCAAGTAAAAAGATAAACTCTTTAACATTTATTTCTCAAAATGTGCCAATTTTTATAAGATGTCTTATCAGTTTCTAACTTTAATTTGGATGAGGAATAACACAAACCACAACGGTCTTATTCACAATAGATGTTGAGTAAGCTACAATCCTTCTAATCAGTCCATTCAATCCATTTCCACATCTTCCAAAAGATCCGATGAAATTAAATCTTTTCCAACCACGCCGCACTCTGTTAGTTTGGAATGTAATCGAAAATCATTAATGCTTTTTTTCACTCGTAGAGTATCAGCAGTTTTCAACGAAAAGAAAGGGTTTGAACGTTTGTGATAGTGTCCTTCCTTTGATGGCAAACTTGGTATTGAGCACATAAATGTAAGATGAATAGAAAGAAAAAAATAATCATGTGACTAATGTGGGTCTCCAAAATTATGAATCTGCTAGATAAATAACATTATGACACTGTAGTCTGAAGGGCACCACGCCGCACTCTGTTAGTTTGGAATGTAATCGAAAATCATTAATGCTTTTTCTCACTCGTAGAGTATTAGCAGTTTTCAACGAAAAGAAAGGGTTTGAACGTTTGTGATAGTGTCCTTCCTTTGATGGCAAACTTGGTATTGAGCACATAAATGTAAAATGAATAGAAAGAAAAAAATAATCATGTGACTAATGTGGGTCTCCAAAATTATGAATCTGCTAGATAAATAACAGTATGACACTGTAGTCTGAAGGGCACCATGCCTCACTCTGTTAGTTTGGAATGTTATAGAAAATCATTAATGCTTTTTCTCACTCGTAGAGTATCAGCAGTTTTCAACGAAAAGAAAGGGTTTGAACATTTGTGATAGTGTCCTTCCTTTGATGGCATACTTGGTATTGAGCACATAAATGTAAGATGAATAGAAAGGAAAAAATAATCATGTGACTAATGTGGGTCTCCAAAATCTGCTAGATAAATAACAGTATGACACTGTAGTCTGAAGGGCATCACATCATGAGTGTAATTCTAGCAACTTCTGCTGATATGACTGAAAAAATCATCTTCAAACCATATATACCTTCTTCACAAGTTCATCTGTTCCTTCCCCCC